TATCTTCGACAGTTCGACGGACGGAGATTATCTTCGAGCTCCTCTCCGGTTTAGCCACCTTGCCAAGGATTCTCCACCTCCATCTTCTTCAACAATCTTTCTTCTAGCTAAATCAAACTCCATTTCATCTCATATTGAAGTTAGGGTTTAGAATGTAAAATTTTCAAATTCTTAGATTATGAATTGATTTGCTGTGAAATATGGATGTGTATGGCATGTTGAGTTTTAATGTTGAATTAAATGTAATATTTTGATTTTGTTGTGGATTTTTTGTGTATTATTATTGTGAATTGTAATGCAAAACTTTGAATTTTTTAATGTAATATTTTTCCATTGTTAGGTGTATACTTATCCTATAGGATTTGCTTAAATATGAGAGTTTTTTTAACATGTTGTTGTGTTTATGAAATGATTGATTTGGGTGTATAAAGTGTGTATATTAATGTGTAATCATGAAATATGGACATGTGTTGTAATTAGAATATGGATTTCTCCAACTTCCCAATTGTGTGTCATTGGGAGGGGACATATTTGAGGAAGCAAGGAAAATACGCTATGATGGTGGTAGCAAAAGGATTGTAATTGTTTCTCGTGGCGCATGTTTGCTTGAGATGCTGCAAAAAGTCTATGTAACTACACAGATTCCTCTAAGCCATTCTTTGCAATTCAAAGTGAAATATCCCCTTCACGGGGGATCATACATGCTCATGCCACTTGATGATGAGGAAGTTGTCACGAGAATGTGGATGACACTTCAGATGATGACTGTCCACAATGGAGATATACCTTGCAGAATCCATAGGTGACGCTCCTATAATTCCCTCAACATATCAAATGTTGTTGTATCTAGGCATGGTGTGAATGCAGCGGCCTCCTCAAGATGGGAGGTATTTGCACAATGGTGCATCCTTTTTGGATGGCCATGGAACTAATGATGATGCTGATGATAACATCAATGATGATAAATGACAGAATCTGATGAAGATGATGGTGATATTGTGATCGCAACTGCCCCGTCTAGCCACTATACTAGAGTATATGATCTCCCATCTGGCTTTGATGATGCGTGGAAGAGTGGAATAGGTGTGAACAGGTTTACACCAGACAATGAGTTTGCGGTTGGTCAACAGTTTGACAACAAAGAACAACTAATCAATATGGTGAGCTTGTATTCTATCAAACGCAACCAGTTTTATCATCCCATTATAATACGATATATTTGGGCTTGATGGACATCCAGTTCATGATCAGCCTCCTCGTGTGCTTGGACCACATCATTGACGGGGCGAGGACCCTCTGAGGCGTCGGTATGTTTTAATCGATTTTATTTATGTTATTGTATGTTTAATATAATTATATTAATTATATTTATATTAATATATACTACATGAATGGTTAGATGGCTGTTTACTGATCTATGTCGCACATCATCAGCTTCTGCGCTCGGTTTCTACAGGGATGCATTTGATCGCATGTCTGATGATCAGGTATGGTGTGCATAATATACCATTAACTATCATATGAATAACAGTAATACTAATTTTTTATCCTTATGAAACAAATTATATGGATGTCATATACAGCTTAGATGTTAGAGGAGTTGCCCCCGGCAGGATGCGAACACGTGTGCCGTTGATATGTTTTGACATTGTTGAGCTTCAATTGCCTGATCGTGTACTGCAGCAGTTTGGTTATGAACAGGTCATTCCAACACCTATCGATACATGTGTATATCTTCATAGGGTGGATAGGCGTGGGAAGCATATGGAGGATTGGTCGCTCAGACATGTCCGATACATGACTATATGAGATAGGCGAGCCGAGCTTGTTGTGACTGGGACACCGACATTACTCCATTTTGTTTCGGGAGACTACATGAGATGATATTACAACATCACGCGGTTGTTTGTGTCTCCTTCTTTCATACTCACTACTCATCATTATGAGCCTAGCTCCTTGGCTTCCCCAGCCACTATCTTCGACCACCGACGGCAACACCACCACCAGCACAGCAACCAGCAGCAACGGAGATCCGTTGAAGCTCTCTTACTTGGTCGCACTGAAGACAACAGCCCCAACAGAGGCACCTCTAAAGCCTACTGCCCCAAACAAAAAGACCAGTTATGGCCTTTGACATTAAGTGCCATCAAAGGCAACACATAGTTGGTCAAGTGCTCTACTGCAAAATTGTAGCCCATTATTAGTCTTAAGAGTCTTAGTTTTCTTCCTGATTTGACCTTCAACCAAGAGTTTCCCGTTTTATACTTATCATACACATCATATTTATGTGTTAACAAGAAAACCCACACTTTCTATAAAAATTATCAATAAAGTACATAAATACCTTATAAACTCATGAATAGGGATACTTGGAGGAGCGTTTGGATAGATTTGGATAAGAGGAAATAGGGAACTCCACCAGTTGTTTTCTGAGCATAGATGATCCACAAAAATGACATAGATATCACAAAGTCCTTGCTAAGATAACTAGTTCTTATTGCTTGCATGCCATGGTATAGTATACCACAAAGCAGTCATATCAACACACACAACATTCCCAGTTTCAAAAAGGGTTTTGCACGACAAGAATGAGATTATTCGCCTTTTTAGCTTCAAACAGCATAAGAGATTTATTTAAGATTTTCAACATCCATTTCCCCATGTATGTTCCAACCCACACCCCTCTAAGACAACAACAAATAACAAGCAATATGATACAGATTAGTGACACTCCTCACATTTTTCACAAAAAATACAAAACCACAAAAAAGATCAGGCATATGTCACAAACATCAACATTCTACATCTCTTATTATCAGCTAAAGACACAAATCCGCTTTCACATTTTCATGTTCAGAGAAAAGATTTCTAAAGGGGTGTAATAGGTACACCCAAGATTAATCAACCGCTCATGCTCAGACAAAGAACTGGATACAGAATTCACATGATCACAAACCATCAAAACATCACCATAATAGTCTTTTTCAACAAAAATATTAGCATGTTAAGTTTTCATAGGGCTCATTTAGTTGCTCAGGGATTTAAACAATAGGCTGGGATTGATTTTACATAAACTTATAGTCTTGTTGTTAGACCTAACATTGTTCATCTTATTCTGCTTGTTGTCATGTCTTTAGGTTGGTCAGTTCATCAACTTGATGTTAAAAATGATGTTTGCATGGACTGTTAACTGAAGAAGTATACATGATCTGTCAACCTTAAGATTTTTTTCATCCTTCTTTTCCTACTCATGTTTGTCGCCCCAGGAAGACATTATATTGTCTCAGACATGATCCTAGAGCTTGATTTCATCGTTTCAGTGTTTTTTGTTAAGTCGTGATTTTTCTAAAAGGAAGTCCCATTCTTCCATGTTTGTCTATCGTTTACAGTCTCAGGTGGTGTACATTCTTCTATATGTGGATGATATATTTATTACAAGCTCCTAAAAATGAATGACGACACGATTCAGACGAAGTGTCTGGTCGTGAGGAGGGTTGTTGTTGTCTCACATCGAATATCTCTTAAACAATTAAACGCTATATTAAGATCTGGGCTCCTCCTCCTATCAGGTTGACCATGTAGGATGGAACACGAGATATTAACAACCCGACCCTTAAACCCCCGCAAACCCCCCCCCCCCAAACGGTCATATAGCCATTGCCAACGACTACATGCCACCCCAACCCAACCCTTTATTATTATTATTATTATTATTATTATTATTATTATTATTATTATTATTATTATTATTATTATTTAAATATGACCGGTTTGACTGGAACTGGTACCGGTCGGTCCGGTCCCAAAAATCAAAGCCCGTCCCTCTTTTTGTCAAGTCTTGTTACCGGGCCAGTATCGGTACTGAGAAACCAGTCTCGGTCCAATCTCTGATAGTACCAGTCCCGGGCCAATCCCTAATAGTACCGGTCCTAGGCCAGTCTCAGATTGGGCCACTTGGACCTAGTCCATGCCTAGAAGCAACAACACCACATAATTGAAGATGCAATAGTGAACTCTTACTTTTGGAATGTCGGGTCGGTGCTGGAGGACCCTCAAGTATAGGTTGTCATCCTTTTTTTAAAGATGCTATAGGCTATAGAGAACTCTTAGAACTCTTACTTGAGAAGTTGAGAGTGACTTTTGTCAAATATAGTTGAAGATATTAGGAATTTAAGTTAGAATGGAGAAATATTGAGGGGCAGAAATTCTCTTCTCGAGAATTAATCGTGCCTGAACTGGAAACACCAATTATTAGCTTTGAACGATTTGACATATATCCTCTTCAACAATTAGAAGTCATTAGGTAGTTAATTTTATATAATTCATATCCATATGTTGAGTCATTTATGATTAATCTTGGTTTTTAAATACTACGTATAGAAATCAAATACGGAGTACGTTTCTATTTTGTGTTGAATTTTTTATTGTGATACTTGGTTGAATAATAAGTTTCTGGTACACGTAGGGCAAGAAAAGTTTCTTGAAACTAAAAAATATTGCAATGGTACGTTCGAAAGTCAGAGAGAATACTTCTCATTGTCAAGTTTGATTAAGAGCTTCTTTGGACCGTTTTTAAATTAAATCTCCTTACATTATATTCAAATTACTATCATAATTAAAATTTACAAATCTAAAAAAAATACAATAAAAGTTTTTTTGATGTGCTCACACTTCTGTTATAGTATGTACTCTTTGGTAAATATTAACATCCTTGAATTTAGATAAGCCTCCTACTCAGTAACTTGATTAACATCTCTAAATATTACTCTTTAGATTAACATCTCTTTGGTAAAAATAAACCTCCTACTCAGTAATTTGAACTAGTAACCACAATAACCTTTTGTTTGTACCTTTGTGGGTTTAGCCAGTTGAATATACCTTTAGATGGAGACTACCAAAGTAAATGTGCATTTTATCCTGTGCATGAAATTCAAAGCTCTGCACAAAGTCACAAACTTCGATATTAAAAAATTTGCTCAATCGAATGAACTGTTTTACTAGTTTTGTACCATTGCTTTGCAGACAATACAAATTCATGGATCGATGCCAGTTTGTGTATATGCAGGCCAAGTTGAGGAAATATAGTTTTTTTGTCTTCAATGAAACTTGTTAAAGACAGAAAGTGTTGTAGATTCACTCTGGAGCCTATTCAAGAATCCGTTCCCCCTTTCCAGTGAAACATAATGGGAAGCAAATAGTCTCCCAAATGCCCCCCACACGACTGGGGAAGCGCAGAAAGAGTATGCAAATACAGCTAGAGCTCTCACCACTCCACTCGGGTACCATGGGTAAGCCATGACTAAAAGGGCACCAAGAAACCCGAACAACGGGACTAAAACAGTCAGCATTGGCACGAGGAACACAGTTATCACGACACACAAGTGCGAGAAAACACCAAACATGTATAGGGTCCATCCCAAGATGGGATGGATTGTGGAAGGGATAACAAAGAACGGGACAATGTAGGATAAGAGGATGGACCCTATGACAATCAACTTTAGGCCGGTTTGTATTATGATATTCTTGGAATCTTCGGGTCGATAGCACAACTTGAAAAGGTAGGGGCGCGCTAAATGTGTGATTGCCATGACTCCTAGGTACATCACAGCTTGGATGGTCACAATAGGCATCTCAGCATCATATCTATCAAACAACAATAAGCATTTCATCATCATATCTATCAACATTAGCTAAAATACATAGAATAACTATATGCCCAATTTGAAAGGAAACAACTCATCATCTTAAGAGTATTGGATAATGTCCAATTTGAAATACTTATCATCCAAGTGATGTATGGTGATTGTTGTTGAAGAATTGACAAAACTATATACAAGGAATGTAGGTTTTATACTTTAAAAAATGACAATGCTGAGGTGAAAGAAAGAGTATTGTGACTTGCTAAAAGTAATGTGCACAAATCACGTTGTGTCACAAATTTAATTCCCAAGTTTAAATTTGGATTCATAACAACATATTTTCATTCATATGCATTACCTAGAGATAAGAGAAAAATATAAAAAGATTTACCAGCTTCCTTCTTACCCAATAGTTTGTCGCCGTTGTTCATGCCATTGGATACCAAGAGGCAGGACAGGCCATGACCACCAATACCATGGTTTCAACCATGGTGCGCCAGGGAAAGTAATGACACTATTTGGTCCACAAGGAACATCCCATCGGAGTTTAAGATCTGGTCATAAGTATATAATGCATGTGTTTCCTTAATATTAAAGAAAATTCAAGGAATTCATGTTTGTAATATTAAATTAATTAAAAGAATTGCATTAAATACTCACTATTTCCATCATTTGCAATGGAGCCAAAGTCTCACTATTTTTTGGCTCGGGATTATGATGGAATAAAACAAAATGGCTCACTAAACTGTCTGCGCTTCTTTGTTATGAAGTAGCATTCAGTCTATCCAATTTTCGACGCGATTTTCACTTTGAGTCATCCAAAAACAGTCTCTCTGTACTTTAGTACAGGGGTAAGGCTGCGTACATCCGACCCCCCTTACCCACCATAGGTGGGAGCCTTTGCGGCACGGGGGTAATGATGATGATGAGTTGCATTAAATACTGTAAAAACAAGGTGTTCCTTAAACAAAAATACTATGTTTTCCTAAATAGGAAAAAGTACTATATCATACTTCCATATTGAGACCATACTGCCATTTTTTAATGCCTAATAATGCTATAATATGAAAATCACCTTACTTTTACTCTTTTTTTTGAAAGTTTCCCATTAGTTAATTGAAATACTTAATTAGTTATACATACAATAATAAGAAGCATCCATTTGGTAGCCAAGGGGAAGTCTGTATTGCCCCTCAAGCTTGGCGCCATTTGAAGGAGGGTGAAACATTGGCTTGTCTAGTAAATCTGGGAAGTAGCTCCCTATAAGCCCTTGGTCTGCTCCATCAGGGTTTTCCCTCCCAGCCTCCAACTCATGAACCATATCTTTGAATACCTCTATTGATGGCTGCAATCAAAAGTACATAGTAATGTGTCATGTGTGTGCCTGCATACAAGAAGAGTATGAAGAGTTGAAGACATTCAACTGTCTTACTTTTTTGCATTAACTTATGGGAGGCGCATCCACGCATGACGAGGTATAGCAAAACATCAAAATGTTACTTCGTATAATACTTCAATAGTTTACAGAGTGTTTCACAACATTTATAACTTATCTAAGGCAGTAAAGTACTCTCAACTTATAAAGTTCTCCCAGCATCTCATTTTAAGTTTCCCGATTCAGTTAATGATTGAGGGTAAAATTAGTTATTCATGTAGTCTACTTCTTTTATATGAATGAATTGTTCATGACTTGTTGTAGTCTATCATTCATATTCAAAAATTGAAATGTGCGAGAGACATCACCACTGACATTCCTGACAAACTTTTAAAGGCAAATTAACAATTGTGTACAAGTAATTAGAACTCTAATTCACCCCAAGCAGTTAAAAATAAGGTGATGTTAATGATTATTATAATGATGATGATGATTAACTCACAAAAATGTGTTGGACACCATTTAGTTTCAGCATGCATCCGTTCGGAGTCTTCACGTGGACTGTCCCCTTCCCGACAATTTTAAGAGGTTCATCATCAGCAAGATACACCTCTCCAAAATTGTCGGGAGTATACTGTTCCATCACTTCAGAGTTACCACATGAATGGAACGAGGCTCCAGAATCCAGAACTCAGGACTCCAACGGACTACTCACGCTCAGAATCAGGAGATCATCACCCGATGATTCTGCCGCTGCATTGGCAGATGTCTTCTCCTTCTGATCCTTGATCTGCTCCTTGCACTGGCTCTTGAAGTGTCCGTACTCCTCACAATTCCAACACTTGATCTGACTTCTGTCCTTCTTGCCCTTGCTGTTTGACTTGGATTTGGATCTTGATCTATCCCGATTTGACTTTGACTTTGACTTCGTTCTGCCCTGGTTCTCTGTACTCAACGCCGATCCAGAAGCCAAACCTGATTCCTTCCTGCGAATTTCTTCGCTGACCACCAGATTTCTGACTTCATCGAATTTCAGTTTCTCCTTCCCTGCCGAAGCGCTGACTGCAGTCACCGTTCTGTTCCAGCTTTCCGGGAGAGAAGACAGCAGAATTAGGACATGAATTTCGTCGTCGAACTTGATCTCAACCGCGCTCAATTGTGTGGTGATTAAATTGAACTCGTTGAGATGCTCCACAACTCCCGTGGTTTCTGACATCTTAAGGTTAAAAAGACGCCTCATGAGATGTACCTTGTTCGCAGCAGAAGGCTTCTCATACATATCCGTTAATATTTGCAACATCTTCTTCGTCGTTTTTGTTTTGACGGTATGTAGGGCGATGTTTCTGGACAGCGACAATCGCACCACGCTCATCGCTTTCCTGTCCAGCAACTTCCAATCGCTCTCCTTCATGTCTTCCGGCTTATCCTCCAGAGGTTGATACAGATCTTTACCGTACAGGTAATCTTCGATCTGCAGCTTCCAGAAGCCGAAATCAGTCCCATCAAACTGCATCAACGGTGTCTTCAAATCTGCCATCGTGTTGAACTTTCCCTTCGAACCTAGGGCTCTTGATACCAGTTGTTAGGAATTTAACTCACAAACACGATAAACAATTAAAGAACACACGAAATTTGGTAATCCAGTTCGCCACAGAGGACTACGTCTGGGGGCGCTACCAAGCCAGGAATGTTATTAATATTTTCTGGAGGCAGATTACAAGAGAGGAGAGTGGTATTTATAGAGATGCAGTGTCTTGTTCCCAAAGCAACATAACCTCTAATTAAATTAGGATGTGTTTCCAAAAATAAATTAAGAAACGTGTTTCCAAGAATAAATTAAGAAACTGTCTCTAACACCTTACGAAATGGACATGGGTCATGTCGGGTTCGTTTAGGGTCTGGTTAGTTCATGTGTCCTAAATGAATAAATTGAATAATCTTAAGCAAATCCTAAATAACTCATGTCTGTTCGGGTCTGGTACACTGGCTGATTCCGAGTCTAGCTTTTGGCTCATTTAGATAAAGTTAAACTGGAATAAAGACTATTTAAGAGAAAAACATAATCAAGACCGAAATTATTGGATTTCAGCCCATTGACTAAGTGGACTAACTAGAACCAGAAAATCCTCACTCTTTTTTATTCAATACCAGAATTCCATTTGCTTTTCATTATATAATAGTTCACTAACATCCAATGATATTAGGATGTTTTGTTTTGATGGCACCTGCTTTTCCTCTTATTTTATCCAAAAATTCAATCCAAAATGATAAGAGAATTCAATATTAAACCCATGTTATGTTGGGATTGGGTTTTAAAAAGGAATGTTTTCATCTTTTTTGTCGTGACAATGTTTCTTCCTAAGTGCTTCTACAAATCTAAGTTTAAGAATAACCCACTTTAGAACTAATAGTACTTAATCAGACTATAAATGGAGGCATTAGACTTTTACCCATGTACTAGTACTATTTTCCTGAAACAAATTAGGCCTGAAGTGGGTTGTTCTTAAACTTAGATGTTGTAGCACTTAGGAAGAAAGATGATGATGACGACGATGATGAAGAAGATAAGATGTGGGCTTCCTCTCCCTATTGAGGTTAAGACAAATACTCCAATGGGTGAGAAGTGGAAATGTAATCTTTTCACCCATATGGTGTGCAACCATATAAAAAAGAATAGAAGGTGTTATATATATTGGGTTGATAGCATCCTTGGGGTGGGAAAATGGAAGAGAAAAGCATGCCGTGAGACTCACAACAAAAAAATCTTTATAAAGTGTTACTCGTATAACTTTTTATTTGTACTCTAATTTTCACAAAACAAAATATATCAAAATTCATACTCTGTAATATTTTATGATCTTCATGGGACTGCCAGGGTTCTTGATGCCCAAAATTTTGCTTAAGTAGACCCCAGTGCAAAAAGTAAAATCTCATGTTTAATTTTTTTTTGGAAAAATTCACAAGAATAATCCCACCTTTCGCCGGTCTTCTCATAATAATCCCACCTTTAAATAATCCCAAAATAATCCCACCTTTGCACTTCATCTTCTTCCATTGGACCCTAACCAAATTTTTTTACCTTTTTTGAGAATCTTATATAAATAATCTTACATTTATAAAGATATAATAAAAAAGTGAAAGGTGAGATCATTTATATGATTTTCAAAAAAAGAGTAAAAAACATGGTCAGGGTCCAATGAAAGAAGATGGGGTGCAAAGGTGGGATTATTTTGGGATTATTTAAAGGTGGGATTATTATGAGAAGACCGGTGAAAGGTGGGATTATTCTTGTGAATTTTTCCTTTTTTTTTACATCTTTCAACTATTTTTTCCAAACAAGGTCCGAAATAACAACAAAAAATTGAACTCTAAATTTATTTATTTTTACATCGGAATGTTTGAGTTTTACAATATTGGAAAAAGTAAAAAATATTGGCAAAAAATTGATGTATAATTAAAAAAAGTAAGGATTTAATTAAAAAAATGTTGGGTGAATATATCAATGGTGTCGTATTGTAGGGAAAAACTGAATTAACGTAATGAAACCCAAATTTCATATAAGCTGATTGAGAATTTGATTTATTAATTAAGCATGGTTGCAACCAACCTTATTTGGAGTTGGCTTCTTTAGCTTGTTTAAGGGGTATAAGTGTATGCGTCCCTAAGGATGTTTTTTACCCTTACTAAGTTGGATTAAGAAGAAAGTGGTGATGATGAAGTGTGTGCGTCTCTAAGGATGTTTTTAATTTGACTGAAATTTTAAGGTTAAAACTGATCAAATATGTTTAAGTCTGGTTCGGTGATTTGGTTTGAACTGGCGGATGTGCGTTCTATGTGTATTTTATTACTATAAAAGTCCGATTTGCCATGATCTGTTTAAGTTGGTCTGATTTGAAACTCAAACTCATCCAATTAATTAAAAGATCCTAATTATGTTTTACCTGCAATACAAAAAGCCCGGTATGGAAGATGCAGGGATTAATGAAGACAGCACAAAAGTGGCCACATTGGAACAATTCATCGGTTTTATGAAGGAAAAGGTTGTCTGCATCGAGCATCACAACTCTTGAATACTCCACTAGGCTCCAAGCATAGATTTTGTTCAACGATAACTCAAATCTCCAGTCAAAATTATCTTGAACTCTGTAAGGATTGTTCAAGTTTTCAACTCTTACCACCCTTGCACCATCTTCCTGTTCTCTGCATCATATTTGGAACGCATTAATACCATTTTCAGAGTTTGTTTCGTGGAATAAGCTATGCTATCCTATGCGCAGGAATAACCCACTATATTTCCCCCCCAAATCAATATCACAGTGCGCCAAATTAACAAAAGACCTTCAACTAAACACGATCAGAATGTTGATCAACACAAGCCATCGAAATTAATTAGTACTGTTATCTGTATTGCAATCTATTTAATTAGTTCTGCCCGACGCCCCCCGACGCCCCATTCGAACTTGTCTATTTGAGCTGCTTTCAGGTGGAGTTTTTTTATATGAAATTTTGTGAACGTGAACGGTAGATTATGTCTACAAAATTTCAGCTTAAAATACAATCGGGAAGTTAGTTAAATAAATTATTGAAAAACACTGCAAAAGCCACATTTGAAAGAACCTTCTCATTGAAGAATATTATCAAGACGGATCTTCACAACAAGATAGGAGATGATTTTTTTATGGATTGCTTAGTATGCTACATTGAAAGAGATGTTTTTTATGGAAAGAACCTTTGAATGGAACCAAGTCTATTCCTAATCACTTTTTTGTTAGCAGCTAATACTAACCGGCAACTAAAACTAGTTTCACCGGACTAAGGATGTTTTAAATTGAAATGTAATATGTTGATCTGGTTTATTTAAGTCAGGTGCGGACTAAGGATGTTTTAATTGGAATGTAATATTTTGGTCTGATTTATTTAAGTCTTGGATTATTATTCTGTGTGTGTTTACAACTGTTCTAGTCTAGAACTAAAATCAACCCAATTAAAAACATACTCAAAATTACTATAAATATAATGTCCATCGAAGTTACGAAAAAAATTATAATGTCATGATCACTTAAGTGTAAAACTGAACATACAATAAGCACGAAGAGTTATCATATTAATCATGTTGTATGTCAATTTATTTGTCCCAAATAAAGTTTTTGTAGTTTTTCCGATATATGTTTTTGTAATCTTGTACGTATTTCATTTTATATACGTATTACGTAGTATTACTTACGCATGGAATTTTACTAAAATATTACTCAAATAAATTTTAAGATAAAAACGTGACTAATTAATTAACCATGACTTCACTTTTATTGTAACTTTGATATAAAATTTGAACATAGTTATAATCACTTATTAAGTCAAAATTTTCACCACCATCTTTGTTTTTCCATATATTAGAACCATTAGGTATTATTTCATAGAAATTGTGTTTTGGTATCATAAATATCTATATATCAAGTACTCCATTCATCTCTCCAAATTTGACCAGATTTAACTTGCACGACGAATATAAAGTAAAAATTATTTGATTGAAATTTCGAAAGAGGGAAATAACTTTAACCACACATTAGTTACTTTAAACGAAAATGATTTTTTTTAGAATTGTTAAATAAGGAAAGTTAAAAAGGTTCTATAAGATGAAATATTTTTAAATAACAAAGGCCAATGAGCATAAATTATATAGTTACTTTAAATGAAAATGATTTTTTTTAGAATTGTTAAATAAGGAAAGTTAAAAAGGTTCTATAAGATGAAATATTTTTAAATAACAAAGGCCAATGAGCATAAATTATATAAGCGGTTTTGACGCACAAAATAACACAACACAAATTGCGGTCCATAAATTAAAATTATGGTTCCGCCCGCAAGTCACAATAGTGTGGTTTGGGTGCGGTAGGCCATGGCAATTCCTGTAGATGGATTGCGTAAAAAAAAGGATGACACCCTATCCTTGAGGGCCCCCAACACCGACCAGACGGCACGATGAAAGGATGTAAATTGAACTATAATCACAATCTGACAGATAGAGAGTGGGGCTCTGTCCCCGTAATAATAATACTTCGTACAATTTTAATTTTATCCTATGATGGAAAAATACACCGAGAATATTCTTGGCAAAGCCTACCTGTCTCAATCCCTCTTTTTTTTTTCCACGTTACGTGGAGCATCACTTTGCTTACATGTTTTTAGTTGGTCTATATTTAGTCTCGTATCAGCCTAGAGGAGATTTAAACATACCGAATCACATCAAACCAAAAACTTATAGGAAAGGATTTGTGGTTCACAACCATTCTTACACATTTCTCTCTCCTCTGCACAACTCTCAACCACACATTTCCCACTTTCTTAATCTCCGTGCCCAGTCAAAACCGAAGTTAATTCTGGGACGGAGGGAGTACAAAAATCAAACATTTATCAGATCACACGGGATGCTCTAACAATACAGTTCCGGTTTTAGGCTTAAAAAAAGTTGAAAAGAGTGTTTTCAAATGACAGTTTCTGCTTAAATTAATCACTTAAAAGCTAAAAGCTGGAAGCAGGTAGAAGGGTGCTTTAAACTGCTTCTCACTTTTTCTATTACACAAAAAATACTTATTTTACCAAACACTACCAACTTTTACTTTTCTAGAATTACTTTTTTCTCAAACACTACCAACTTTTACTATTAATCACTTTCCCAAAATCACTTTAAAAAATCACTTTTTTAAAGTTGAAGTAATTGCAAACACTCCCTTAGTTTTGGCTTCTAAGTTTTGGCTTCTAAAAATCAAATGGAAGTCAGACAAAACCGCGGTTGCTCATTTTGAAAGGCAAAACGAAAATGAATGGAAATGCATTTTTTCGTTTGGAGTCAAAATCGAAGTCAATGAAGTCAAAGGTGAATAACCCACAAAGTCAATGAAATCTCACATAATTTCGACATAAGCTTTGGGCATTAAGAGCCCGTTTGGTAGCATCAAAATCGGCTGTTTTGACTGATTCTGCTGAAAATTATGAAGTTGTGGCTGAAGTGGCTACATTGGCTGATTCTGCTGATTTAAGAACAAATTATTTTTAAAAAATATTTTATTAATAAAATAAATAAAAAATTATATGTAAAAATAGCTAAAATGGTCATCTACGGTAACTTCAGCCAATACAGTCAGAAAAGTAACTCCAACCTTACTTTTTCTGCTTATTACACAATTTAGCGCGCGAAAGTAAAAGTTAAGTGTTTGGTGAAAAAGCTGGCTCATAAGCCCGATAAGCCAAAAAACTGTGTTCCCAAACGGCCTCTAATATCAATAATACTTAGTATTTGTTTAAAATTTATAATAATTGGTAAGTGAATGAAATCTCACAAAATCCTAACATGTGTTTTTTAATTTCATAATTATACAGAAATATATTCAAAAAAAGAATTATACAGAGAAATAAAAAAAAATTATAATAATTGAAAAAATGTTTTACTAAACTGATATGTAATATAAACATGTGAGTGTATTTCATTGACAGTTGTGAATGGATGACACACAGTCAGAGTCTATTGATTGGTTTTATACTCCGTATTATTTTTCTTTTTTTAACAGAGTACATTTTAGTAAACATTATAAAAAGTTACTTTTTCAATCTCATTTTGTAAGATATTTTTCTATTCATTTGTCAAGACAAATCACTCTTAATTTCTTACTTTATATATCAATTTTTTATCAAATTAATTCTGATTTTTGTGACTGTGTAAAAGTTTTTAATGTAGTTTCTGAATATGTAATTCGTTTTTCTAAAAATAATTTGAGTATGGTAAGAGATTTATTTGTTTTATCGTCGGTCAAACAGATATGAAGTATAGAGTAAACCATAAAGTGTCTTGCAATTGGGGACGGAGGGAGTAATATTTTAAAAATTCACGTTAATATAAATTTAATAACATTTTATACATAATGTTTAATTGTATATATTAGTAGAAAATCATGGTTAAAGTAAAAGGGTGCAAAAATCAATTTAGCTAAGGAGAAGCAAGCTTACAAGGTATGGATCCACGGCAGAGGAACGTCCATGGAAGCAATGACGACCAAATCAGCTTCGGCGCCGAGCCGCGCCAGAGATCGAAGCATGACACGTGTTGCAACGTAGAAATCGTAATCTCTCGGTGTCCCCATATACAGCATGGCAGCATACGCGCATCCGTAAACCCGGCCCGCCAGCGGCTCCGCGCCGCCGTATGCGGCGTTGGCGGAAACCAGTACCCACCACGCCATGAGGACGGACCACCACAAACGCGCCATTACCGGACTTTCTGATTCTCTGAATGAATAATAAGCAAATGGAATCACTTCTGCAGAAATGGAAATAAATCTCAGGCGAGGACAGAATTGAATTCCCTTCCGCTTTTGGTTTTCTAGAAGATAAAACCTTCGCCGAAATACGACGGATTCGGGCCAACCGGAGAATATGATTCCGGTGATATTAAAGGTCAACATATTATTCCATTTATCCTCAGATTTCCTTTACACCGAAGAGATTAATCAGGCCAGCTATATAAGATTTGAAGAGCTTTTTGACTTCAAATACTTCCTCCGGCCCAGAGAGAAGTTCCACTTTCACACATATTAAGGAAATAAAGTTACTGGGGGTAAATTTTACTATTTGGCACTGTTTCGACACAGTTTGGCATGGTTTCAACACTGTTTTGCACTGTTTAGCACTGTTTGGCACTGTTTAGCACTGTTTTGATGTAGAATAACTTTTTATTTAGGGAAATGAGAACTTCTTGTTGGGACGGAGGTAGTAATATTGACCGAACATTTTAAGACACAATGCAAGTACTCCAGGGGGTGGACCCAATACTTTAATGGGAATGAGTGACGAGGTACGACCGGAATAAGTCACGCGGGCCAGTTTCCAAGTATATCATTTCATGGAAAATTTAAAAGGAAGTCAAATAAGGTCTAAATAGTCACGATATACGTAATAAAGCCTCATGTCTACTTATATGAAATAATCGGGTGAATTCTTTTGACAACCTCGTAATCTCATTTTTAACATACATCTCATTATCTTTTCAAAATAAATTATAAGATTAGTGTGGAATATTTAATGAAGATTGACTTAAATATAAGATAAAATAACGACACGCAAGTTAAAATCGGAGTTAGGAGATTGTCAACGGGTCGCTAGCAATGATGTTTTTACTATAACTGTTTTCAATCCCAAACCAAACCAAACCACACCAGACATAAACAGACCAGACTTAAACAGATCAGACCAGACTTGACTTCCGTAATTATAAAATACACATAAACCAGGCGTTTACCACACCAGACCAGTTCAGACCAGAACAAACCAGACTTAAACAGAGCAGGCCAGACTTAAACAGACCAGACCAGACTTAAACAGATCAGATCAGACCAACAAATTACAATCCAAGGAAAAACATTATAACACTTACATTGATGTGTTCATTAAAGTGCATAAAATATGTAGTGACAAAATAAAGCTATGTAATCAAAGAATATAAGTCATTTAACAAATTTAACAAATAAAGTACAATGTTACAAAGAATTTTCCCAATAAACATCTGAATAGAATGAGTATTTAAGCCTTAGTTTAGATATTATGAGTATGTTTTGGTAAAGATATGCATACGTTAAAAGTTCAAAAAAGAAAGAAAGAAAGGAGAGGAAATATAAAAAAAAAAAAATTGATAAGAATAATTTCACTTTTACGTAATTCCGGAATAATCTCACATTTGCAACTCATCTTCTTTCGTTGGATCCTGACTTGCTGATGACCTATTATACCGGGTTTTTACCCTTTGTTTGAAAACTTTATATAAATAATTCCATCTTTCACAAATCTGCTTAGAATGGTCTCATGTTTCACTTTTTCTTTTTTCTCCCTAAAATTTTTGTTTCTTTATTTTCATCCCTAAACATTTTTTTTATCACTTTCTCTATCATTTTGTTCTCATTTCTTTTCATTTTTTATTATTCTATTTCTCACTCTATTAGGAGAGTTTTTTTTTGTAAAATTTCTCTTCAAAATAGCTCTTTTTTCATTGCTTTTTTTGTCTTTCCGTATTTTTATTTCATTTACTTTTTTACGTTTTCTTCTTAATCATTCTCTTCACATTAAAGATCTTCTTCTTAATAAGAAGAGAATGATTGAGAAGAAAAACATAAACAGGGAAACGAAATGAAATACGGAAAGAAAAAGAAAAGGACAAAAAAGAGCTATTTTGAAGACAAATTTTACAAAAAATATATATCTCATAATAGAGTAAGAAATAGAATAATAAAAATGAAAAAGGAATAAAAAGTGTCTAGGGATGAAAATAAAGAAAGAAAAATTTTAAGGAGAAAAAAGAAAAAATGAAACATGGGAACCGTTTTGAGCAGATTTGTGAAATGTGGTATTATTTATATAAGGTTTTCAAAGAAAAGGTAAAAAAAATCCGGTATAGTATGTCACCAACAGGTCAGAGTCCAACAAAGAAGATGAGGTGCAAAGGTGGGATTATTCTGGAATTAAGTAAAAGTGGGATTATTCTGAAAAGACCAGTGAAAGGTGAGATTGTTCTTGTCAATTTTCCTTAAAATTTTGTTCCAAAAAAAAATCGTTTCTTCTCTGATTTGAAACTATACTACACCGGAATCCCCAAAACCAATTTCCCCGTGCATTCTGAGTGGTAGGCAGGTAACGACACTTGCTGTTAATGGACCTGAGCAAATTGGGCCGTGTTTGGATTAAGCTAAACCCAAATTCTTAAAATCGTAAACTCTGATAAAATCGACATTTTGAATGATTTTATCCAATTTGAATACAATTTTATATGATGATATCCGATTTTGTACGGGATTCAAATCGGTTTTATGAAGTTGAATCTAAAAGCATATGATTTTATGATTCAAATCGCGATTTTAACAACCCTGGTCGTTATGACTCATATGATTACACTTTATTGATTACATGACGTTATTTGACGATTCCGTAATAGTAGCAGTCCTTATTTGACTCTTTTACAAAATTTAATGAATCGTTATTGGGATGTATACATATTTTGTATTTCGTATATCTTTTGTGTAGATTTCATAGTTGTCTGTCTACGAGGTAGTTACTAAACGAATTGAATGTCTAAACAGACAATTAGGGGGCGTGCACAAAATATGTGTACCAATAACATTTGTGACATTTAATACTCCTACATCTCATAAAAACTGTGTCAAAGTTACAAAATTAAAAATTAATTGTGTTCGTTAAAGTTTAATAGCAAAAATCACATTCATAAAAATAAAAAAATTGGGGATGATATTTAAGAGTACAAAATTAAATTGATGGAAATTAAATTTCAATATGAGTAATAATTTAGGGACTAAAAGTGTAATTCTCCACACATAAATGAATATTTGGTAACAATCTCCTTTATTTTCCAAAGATCGAGAAAAAAGAATGACAACAACAACATTCAAGTCATATTTCCAAAAGATTTTGGTGTCAGCATCGAGAAAAAAGAAAGAAAAGGGAGAAAAAATATAAAATATAATATAAAAATAATGAGATAGCTAAAGGGTGCAACAAGAGAAGAGGAAAACAGGAAAAGTGAATATCAGGTCCAACCCAAAGTCACTAAATAGAATTTTAAATAGTTTGTGGTTTCAGTTAATTCTATCCCCTCTGCACAAATCTCAACCACACAGTTTTTATTTTATTAATTCTCGTGCCAGTCAAACTTTGCAAAGTCTTAAGGGATAGGGGGCCAGTATAAAATTGTACTATTCTTTAAGGGATGATTGTCAAATTGATTTAAATTTAAGAGATTTTTCCATCAATTTGAGCAAAGAAACCCTGTTTACCCCTTCTCAAACACATCTAAAGCACAAACTTAATTAGATTGTATGTGACCGTGAGTCACCTGTCAAAACTCAATTCGAGTTCGGCTAAACTCAAACTTGAACTGGTTTGTGAAGCAATTGAGCTAACCCCAAGCTCAATTCCTTTTAGCTTGTGAGCTTGCGAGCCATAACACACGCACACACATATGGTGCACTGACAATAAGAACGATGCTTAATATGAGAACATTCAATAGGACAAATCAACGTGGTACACAATGGAACCCCTTTATCGCACATTTTTAACTTTGCTCTAAGCAAATCAATATTAAATAGACATTGTGGCATTTTGATAAATATTATGACAATCCCAAGAAGTGCAATAGACGAACTTCATTGTGCATCATGTTGGGGGTAAATGTGGCGTTCCCACGCTCTCACGATAAGTCATGTTCTTATTTGATCCGAAAAGTGTGTGTGTGATTATGTACCCATACACTATATTTATTTATTTATTTATTTATTTATTTATTTATTTATTTATTTATTTATTTATTTATTTATTTATTTATTTATTTATTTATTTATTTATTTATTTATTTATTTATTTATTTATTTATTTATTTATTTATTTATTTATTTATTTATTTATTTATTTATTTATTTATTTATTTATTTATTTATTTATTTATTTATTTATTTATTTATTTATTTATTTATTTATTTATTTATTTATTTATTTATTTATTTATTTATTTATTTATTTATTTATTTATTTATTTATTTATTTATTTATTCATATGTATGTACAGAGTATGTAATACGGAGTATTATATTATTAATTTTTCTTCCAAAAAAAATATTATATTATTAATTTTGAAAATAGAATTATTGGTTTTTAGCTTGACTTCAATTTGAACATCTTATTAAAGCTCAAATCTATAAAAAAAAATTAAATAGCAAAACTCGACTCGAGCTCGAGCCGAGTCTGAATCGAGTTGGAGCTCGAAATTATTAGGCTCGTCCAAGATTGAACCAGTGTATTCTTAGCAAGTTCAAGCATATCCAAGTTCGAGCTAGATTCGATTCGGCTCATTTACACCCTCTTTTCAGAGTAGCGGATCATAAGGAGTCTCATTATTCTCTCACTTTTATTAACGTAGTTCAAAAGTTGTATTATAGTTATAGTAGGTATGTAATGTAAATAAAAATATTAAAGTGAGCTAAACAATAGCTATAAGTCTATAACTTAACGTCACTTTTCTAAATGCCCAATATTCAATAAATAAATCTCAAATTTTATTTGATTTATTCGGTTTGATTTTGAAAGATTGAAGTTGAAACCAGACGACTACGATTCATTTGGTTTTTCCTGCATTCTGTTTTGATTCATTTTGGATGGGATCAATTTTTCAATTTGATTTCTAGTTTCTCTAGCCCACCCCTTGTCGGCCTTGTGCAATATTTGTATCAGTTTACACCATTAAACTTCTTACATCTTGTTCCCTCCAACATGTCTTTCTGAAACATGTATTTCTGGTTATTGCGTTTTCAATAAACAAAGTTGTACTTTTTATTTGGTTACACCATTTTGGCTTCAAGAATTTATCTATTAATCCGCTGAGATTAGTTCTCATATTTCGTATACGTATACAGATGCATATATAGTGAAATGGCTCTCTGGATTACATATTCATCGGGGTGTTTGACAATTGGCTGTTGGCTGTTGATTGATTCATAACAACAGATTCTATTAGCAGTTTTGATTAGCTGATAGTATTAGGCTATTAGTAATTTGTAAAATGGTGTTTGGTTAAATGACTGTTTACAATCAGCTGATAATTTGTTAAATGACTATTATGAACATCAATTAATTTTTAGATTCAATTGTTATTGCTATTTCATCATCATCATTGTTATTATTATTTTGACATTAAAAAGTACATAGCATATTATAATAAATGCACAATTAAATTGCAGCTAAATTGCATTGGAACAAAGTTATAAAATACGGAGTAATATTTTATAAAATGCATGCTTGGTCCAAGTAAGGAGATAGTGGGTGGTTTTTCTCTTTGACGTGTGAGACGGTGAGGAGGCAAATAAAAGTAGAGATGGCCGGTGGCAGTGGGCACTGGGTAGTAAAGAAAAAAATATAGAAAAGCCATGTCTAAATAGACCAAGAAGAGAATGGAGGCCGGCTGGGTAAAATTGGAATGCCATGTATATTCTGAAGCGGCCAATTGCAAAACGCCACTTTTATTAGCACTTTCAATTTTGGCTGTTTGAGACAAAAAACTAAGTAAAAAAACCAATCAACCAAACACCTCAATTATCTGTTTATTTGGTCAAAAAACCTAATAGTGTTCAAATTAGCCAAAAATGATTGATAGGCCATTAACCAAACACCCCATCTTTTTTTGTTTCCCTGAAATCGTTTAAGTCACGGAGTATAAGCCACAAGACATCCTTGTGCAATCAAAAAAGATTTTGTTCTTGCATATTTTTAAATAAAATAATTTATTGATTCATTAGAATAATATTACGTAGCAAAGAAACAAGTGAATGAAAAGTATAAGACTCCATTCAAAAGAAAAGAAAAGTGTGACATAGAACGGAAAAAAACTCATAAAACCTTCCGGATCTCTAACTCCAGAATAATGTAATACTACAAACACAAGTCACATGACTAGTAATCTAGTATGTGACTTTTGATAGTTCTTCAATGTAATTCAAGATACAGATGTTTTTACTATACTAGATTACTAGTCATGTGACTTGTGTTGTTTACTATCAAATGTAATACTATAATGTAAGTCTTGTGCTGTTGTACTTGCTTGTTAAGTGTTCACTACAAAGAAAATGTAAAAAAAAAACTTTTTTTTACTTGATCACAAGAAACTTATGATAAACCAAACTTGTTGCTCCTACTCAACTTATTCAGTAAGATTTTCAAAATGCCCACCCCAGACCAACAATAGTAACTAATGATGTTTAACTTTCAAAATTTTATACTGATTGTGGGGTATTATATCGTACTACTGTCCTGCGGGGTTAATTTGATTGACAAACAGTGTTGAATTAGCACCCTACCTCATAGCATTATTGAAACCGAATACATATTTTAATGCTACACGCCTACACTTGTCAAATGAGGCATTTTCAACCCAAATGGCACAAGTCACATGACTAGTAATCTAGTATAGTAAAAACATCTGTATCTTGAATTACATTGAAGAACTATCAAAAGTAACAATTTCTATCAAACATCCAATAAAGAAACATTTATCTTGGGACTAGTTACAAATTATTATTATTATTATTATTATTATTATTATTATTATTATTATTATTATTATTGTTATTGTAATTGTTATTATTATTTACATATCAAGAGTGTATTAATACACAGCATAGGCAAAGCAGCATATATAGCAGACTTGCCATGATTATTCAGAGGGAAGTCTGGGTGGATGAGAAACAAGAACAGAAGGAAGCGGAGCAGTTTGTGGCTGGCATATCATTTTGGCCTCAACTGGGCAAACGATCGTTGGACTCGAATGAGACTTCATGGGACGGAGCAACGGCCAATGTTCCAAATATCTTTTGCATACTGAGATATGGTTCGGTCACTACTAAACTTCCCAGAGCCAGCCGTGCTTAGTATCGACATCTTTATCCATCTTTTCCTATCCCTGCATTGTACAAAAGAATTGAATGTTCCCAATTCTTTAGGCACACTATATATCCAGAAACAAACAAGTTTTTTAAGAGAAAATGAAACCTATAGAGTTACCAAAAAACTGAATTTGGGAGGGGCCAGAAAAATAACTCATTAATTTTATACAAGAGTTTTACATGATATCCATCTGGAAAATGCTATGGAAAGGAAACAACTAAAAGTTGATATTTTTTTTGAAAAGGCTTTAGCTTAAAAATGTAAAATAAAGTGAAACACAATTCTATGTTTACTTTTTCCGCATATACGTAGTCTTTAGATTTCTTATTTTTAAGAATACCTAAATAATTAAATAAATAAATAAATAAATAAATAAAGCAAAAAAAGTCAAATAAATTTATAGAGTTTAGTTAATCTTTTATTTCCCAACAGTTTCCTTCCTTACACTTTTCTTCTATGTTTTTCTTAATATTTCCCGTCTAGTATTTTTAGGTTCCCAACGGATGCTAACAGAAAAGTGAACAATTGTTGGGAAAAATACTAAAAATAGCACTGAATGTACTGTATAATTTGTGAATAGTTGGGGTCGGCTAATATGAATGAACACATAAAATCGGAGCAAAAAAGATAAGAAAGATAAAAGGATAGAATAAGATTAAAAAAACATAAAAGCAAGATATAAAAGAATGGACTACTTACTTGTAAGCTTCGTCAACCCTTGCCTGGGCATCAAGGTAGCTTGGAAAGTCGTAACCAACAAGAAAGTAATCACCACGGCCATAGCCTGAATCTCCTTCCAGCGAGTCTAGTAAAGGATTATAATCATAGCTCCCAAACGCTCCAGATCTGATATATTGCTTTGCTTCTTCAAACCGAGGATCTGGTTTAAACTGCATGCATAAAAACAGGGGTAAGAATGAATACACATCTAAAACATGTGCAAAAATTAAAAAGTACAAAGTAGTAATTTTCAGTCACATTTTCCAGTATAACTAAACACAATAAAATATCTCTAGCATATAATCCTGAATCCCATTGCCTTTAACATTATATTTGTCATTTGTATCCTGAGAATAGTCTCTAAAATGCAACTCCATCCCTACATCAGGCTACTAAATGTGAAAGATAATGTGAGCTCTTAGGTCAATTCAGAAAGCAGGAAATGCAGGGAAAGAAAAGAGAGAAGAAATTTAGAAGGAAAGACAAATAGAGAGAAAATAAAAAGACACATGCAAGCTCATTTTATTTATCTGATACCTTTATATACAATTTAAGGGTACATTATATACACACACACATGTCTATTTTTCTTGAATGGAAGATGAGAATGAATATGGTGCATGAGATTGAAGACCTAAGGATTAAAAAACAAGAGTAAAAGTAGAAAAATTCAACTAGAGAATTGTAATTATATGCAATTTCTGCCACCATGTTCAATAGAAATGTCTACAGTCCACATCCTGATGCTAAATTGCAACCATCACACTTTAAAAGCAAGTGTTTTCATTTTTCAAGGAAAGACTACTTTTCCCTGGAACCGTCACCTATATATACCTGACCGTTTTCTCTTTCTTTGCGCAGAAGAGGCACTTCTTCAGCTCTTGCACCAAAAAGGAAAAAATTATCTTCCCCAATTTCCTCTCTGATTTCCACATTAGCCCCGTCCAGTGTTCCTATGATTAGGCACCCATTGAGTGCAAATTTCATATTGCTAGTCCCACTGGCCTCCATGCCAGCTGTACTGATATGCTGTGAAAGCTCACTTCCCGGGATAAGCATTTCTGCCACTGATACGTTGTAATTGGGTACAAATACTACCTGAAAATTTATTATTATTATTATTATTATTATTATTATTATTATTATTATTATTATTATTATTACTGCTGTTGTAAAAAAGAAGAAAAATATATTTAGCAAACTACAAGTGTTGGTGAGAACTAAATGGCATAGATTTTTCCTTAACTTGTGGAGGCCATTCAAAAGTTTTTCCGCATTCCAATGAGAAGATTAAAGAAGAAATAACCAGTTGAGTGTCACAGTATCTAATACTGGGCACAGAGTATTCTATATGTATGAATAGTGTTAAAATGTTGTCTCACATCGTCGGATCTTTACCAGATCTAAAAAATCAACGGTATGAGTCCATTGGCGATTGTATTATTTGGACTCTGTATGGGCTGAAGTGTTGTGTTAAAATGTTGACCTACATCGGATGTTTACCATATCTGTATCTAATATGTGTGAGATCCTCTCCGATGTATAAAAAAATCTAATAAGTGTGAGGTAAACCTCACTTAGAGGATCCTTTATATCTATATCTAGTAAGTGCAAAGTAAAGCTCACCTTGAGAATCCATTTGGGGTGAGTTAGCCCTAATTTAATAGATACTCCGTAGTATTTAATTTTACAGAAAATTCCTTTTAAATTTTTACATGCCAATTAGTTTTTCTCTATTTCCACAACTTTCATTTCTACCGATTTTTCTCCTATTCATTTTCTTGTTTAACCTACCTAATTCATGCCTCTTTATCTCTTCTCCATTTTCCAAGCACAATGTGGCATGTGGCAGAGGAGTCAATAGTATTGGAACAAGGCTTAGGAGAATTGTTCCCAAAAGATTGGTAGGTAAGAGGAGGAGAATTGAACAACCATATTATAATAAGCTCTGCTCACCTTCAGATAAATATTGACTTCGGGGTCACTGTTTACAACATCCCCAACATCTGTTACAAGTTTGATGATATGTTTTGCATTTGTATAGGTTGCAAACGCTTTGCCCCCAAACATTACAGTGCGAGCTGTTGTATTCTTACGCTCTTCATGACTCATCTCCTGTTTCCACAAAGCAGAATACATAAGAAGTAGACATAGCTTAAAGGGGTAATAATATTACCGACACCGCATGAAATTCATGATTTTGTAATTACAAATAAACTTGGACGCTAGGCGGGTATTTGACTGGGGGCAGGGTCAGGGGGCAAAGCTGGACTTGCAGTAGTAACATAAACAGATGTATGGTTATATACTTATATATAATGGCACTATATAGTTCAACAGTAATGTCCAAAATTATGTACTCCATCACAAAGTATTTGTAGCTTAAGCCTTAAAACTTTGTCACAAAGTAATTAACGTTTCAGGAATCCAAGACATAATCTCCAGTTTTCTTTCCGAATTGCCCCTATTTGAATAACTTTTTTAGATTAATTGATCAGCAATCATAAGATTGAGTGTCAGAAAATTGAAATTAAATTACTGGTTGAAATGGAAAAATAATTTTAATACTATACATCTTGAGAAAGGCAGGAAAACTTTGAAAGAAAAATTAATGCTTTCCACGGATTACTAATAAAGAAGAGAATGGAGAGACATAACAAATAAGGGTAGATAAGTTTTTTGTGAGACCGTTGCACTATGTTTGGGACTCAGAAAATGATAGGGAAGGGGGGAAGGTAATATCAAGGAAAATTGAACTTTGTGTTTGGGTAAAAGTTGAAAAGTATGATGAAAAGTACATATAGATTAGGCTACTAAACAAATCATATATTTTACTTTTTAGATTTCTTAGCCTTTATATATTAGAACTAAAACGAACAAATGTGTAAAATTTATTAATGGAGTTTGAGGTAATTTCCTTTTTATTTCTTTGAACTTTGTTTTTTTTGAGGGGTTTTATTATACAAAGGAAATTTGAACTTTGTGCTTGGGTATACATTGAAAAGTATAACAAAAAGCAAAACTAGATTAGGCTTTTTTTAATTCTTAGCCCTTTATACTCCCTCTATCCCATTGGATTTTGCCAACTTCCCCTTTTTGGTTGTCCCAAAAAATTTTGTCACTTTCCTCTGCACAAATCTGAACCACACAATTTTTACTTTTCTTATTTCTTACCTACTTGGCATTTGGCAAAGTCGACCGGGACGGAGGGAGTATATTAGAACATAAATGAACAAATGTCTAGAGTTGATTTAAGGAGTTTGAAGCAATTTCCTTCTTATTTTTTTCATCCAAAGTTCCTCCTGTTTTTCTTTCCCTAGCATTCCCCGGGTTCCAAATGGACCCTTAGTCCATACGAAACTATACTTCCTACTAAGAAAAATAACTTGGGATGGAGGAAGTATGTAGAAAAGATCAAATATCGAACTGTGGAAACTCATGAACTTCCACACACCTTGAGTTTCTTGTAGCGATACACCACACCCAGTATATTTAGAAGCTGCCTTTTGTATTCATGGATGCGCTTGACTTGTATATCAAATAGAGTATTCGGGTCAATGCTCACACCAGTCACCCGCCGTATGTACTGTGACAAACGCTGCTTGTTGGCCATCTTGGCAGCTTCCCATTGTGCATGGAGTTTTTCATCATCAGCAAACTTTCAACGTAAAAGATGAAAATGTCAATGTTAGACCAGATTGCAAGAATTTAAGTTTTGAATCGTGGCTTACCTGCCGCAGATTAGCAAGTAAATCAAGATTAGTAACCCACTCATCACTTTTTAACCACTTGGTGATTATATGACTCAGCTCCGGGTTGCAAAACCTTAGCCACCGTCGTGGTGTTATGCCATTGGTTTTGTTCTGGAATTTGGTGGTCCATAAAGAGACGTAGTCAGTGAATAATTCAGCCTTCAAAATATCACTGTGTAGCTGGGCAACACCATTCACCTGCAGAAATGTGAATTTAGATATCAAATAAGTCCTTTTTGAACATCACCAAATAAAAGGAAGAAAATTAGAGCTAACCATCAAAGAAAAGTTTCAAAAAGAATTTATAGCGAGTTGAACATGGAAAATTAGTACTCCATACCTGAATGAAGTTAAAACTTAATATTATGTCCTCCTTTTTATTCCCTCCCGTCTAGTTCTCTAGAAATAAAGTGTTGAGTATTTAATAAATTATTATGTGATAAACGGGGACTGAAGTCACGTGAGCGACGTTGGTTTCTTTTTAAAGAGAGATTGACAGGGAAGGATTAAAAAGAAAATAGCTTAAATTACAAAGATGAGTAACAAAATATATTTTATAGACCTAAAACAACACACTCTATCTTCAAGGACGAAATACATATTTAAGCCATGTGTAAAGAAAGAGATGACATTTCTTACTGTGTGTGAAGAGATGACGCACAAGTTAGCCATGCGCACCACAGGCTTCTCGGGATTGTGATCCAAAATGCGCATGCCAGATATTTTACTCTCAAGATAAGGGCTTTTTGATTGTACCATTGCGATGAACTGCAAGATGAGCACAGGATTAACTTAACACAACTAACTTGTTTTACAAACACTGATGCAAAGAACCAGGTGGAAATGATACCCGCTTGTCAATTTCTTGAATGATCTCCATATGTCGTGGAAGAAGTTTCCACATGACTGCTTGTGACCATTTTTCAAGTGCTTCAGGAAGGACAGTATGATTTGTATAAGCGATTGTCCTGGATATATAATATAACATATTTGAGATCACATTGTAATAACAACAACAAAAAGAACTTAGTTCCGTTTGTTTACCGAAATACGTTTTATGAATTCCAATGCTTGACTCATTAAAAGATTTCGTGAGTTTGGCACTAAAAAATATATTGTTGTTCTTTAGCTACGTTTGGATCCCGGAAATTGTTAGGGAAAGAAAATAAAAATACTAAAAGAAGTTATTTTCATATGAAGGATATGCCTGGGGAAATGCAAACAAAAATAAATATGATTAATTTTTTTTAAAACTACATATGTTTAGATTGTTTTATTGTTTAATGCTTTTATAATACAAACAAACAAATAAATAAATAAAAGTGAGTTCTAAAAACGACAACAACATCCAAGCTTTAGTCCCAAAGATTTTGAGGTCGACTAAAATGAATCGATACATGATATCGGAGCCAAAAGGAAAAGAAAGATATGAAAGATAAAAAAGATAAGGTATGCTAAAAAAATTTAAAAAAAAATAAAGATGAAAATAAAAATGATAAGATAAAAATGATAAAAGGGTAAAAAATTTAAGAAAGAAAAATAAAGAAGATAAATGGTTAAAAAATGACACGAGATCAATCCTCCACACAAATACTCGCACATTACTTTGCTCTATCTAAAGTCATACTCTCTTCCAATCCAAGAAGAAGCATATCACTTCTGACTTCCTTTGAGAGTAACCATACTCTCATCCAACCCAAAGCCATTCTCTCAGCGGCTCAGCCACATCTGTTTGGGTCTTCCTATCTCCCTTTCCTCTCTGCCTCTTCTCCACAGCAAACATTTTATCCCGGAAAACATTTTTCTTAGCAAACATTTTCTTGAAATCATATTGCAAATATAAAATTCAGAGAAGAAATAAAAGGACCTTGTGGTTATATCCCATGCATCATCCCAACCTTGTCCTTCATCATCCATTAATAACCGCATGAGCTCCGGGATTGCAAGTGTTGGATGTGTGTCATTCAGTTGTACTGCAACTTTTGAGGGGAATGAAGACCAATCAAGGCTACCCTTCCCTTCATTCCTCTCCTTAAATCTGTATATGATGTCCTGGTGTTGACCACAAAGTTGGGTTAATGTGCTAATCATGGTAGAGAGGAATTAGTCACATTGAAATGACAAACTAAACAAAAAAAAAAATTACTCCCTCCGCCACAAAAAAAGTCTTCTTTTTAAATCAGATATAAAATTTCATGCAACTTGGAAAAGAAGTTGCAGATAACTTCAAAGTTCAAAAGGCCCTCTTCTTTCTTTAATTTTTTACGGAGAGAATATATAGTTATAGAAATGGAACTGAGAAGAATTAGTCAACCTGAAGTGACGCACTGCACAACAAAAATTGTTGTTTAAGTCTTAAAAGTTTTCCACTTTCTGTTGCATCGCCGGGATAAAGTACAGCACAAATCTGCACAAGTTATGGACATGGTTTTACTCGTGCATGATCCAATGTGTTAGAATAAAAGGGGTATTATTTTAAGTATGAACAATACATGATTAAAGGAATGTAATAACCATATAAGGCAATAACTGACCTGGTGAGCACTAGAATGAAGTTGTGTAGCAGATTCATATTGACCACCATTAAATTGAAATAATTTTATGTCCTCTGCACTAGCTTTGGCCTCCCAAAGTCTAAGACTATTTGTGTTCTTTGTTTTATAACCAGGAATTGGAACATCATATGCGACTGCCTGTATGACCTCCCCACCAATCCATTTCCGGCTACACAAACATTCAATATATAAGCAGTACCAAATACAGAATATGACTGGAAACTAGATCAGTTATGTGCATGTTTGGTAAGGGTGAATTTGGAAGAAATTGCTGAAGATTCTATAATAGTGATTAATATTGATGAAGTTGATGAAAGCTCTGAACCATGAATAAAAAATTACAATATACTCTATCGAAATATAAGGACAACAAAGAATATGTCAAAAATACTATAATGATCATTTCCATCAACTTCAGCAACTCAAGCCAAAAAAGTACCTCCTACATTAGTACATAACACTTTTAATTATTATTAACTGATACATTAAACAAAGTTGAATAAATTAGTGCAGTAAAAATGTGACAGATAGGCAGAAAAACGTGGCTACCACATGGGCACTGAAATATCAATTTACAAAATTAAAAACAAAAGTGTGTGGCAACCCAACAGCCACTGTGATATCAGATCTTCTTTTTAAAATTGCACTGGATGTATTCGAACATAAATTTCACAATAGTCTGCGACTTACGAGCCATTAGGTTCAACATGAACATCACCAAAAAATCTGATGGGGAACACAATGTCATGCCTTGCAACTTCCCAGGGACTGAATTTCTGCATCAAACCAACCAAAAAAATAGAAATATCACAATTGAACATCCACTAGATGAAAATCATCATAGATTATATATTTATAAATGTATCAAACCTCAAGCCAATCTTCAGCAACTTCCTCTTGCCCAGCTTTCGTAATACGTTGCTTGAATAGTCCGTACTTGTACCTCAGTCCATAACCCCAGGCTGGCAAATCTAAGGTTGCCATGGAATCAAGAAAGCAAGAAGCAAGCCTTCCCAACCCACCATTTCCAAGTGCTGCATCTTTCTCCTGTATAGAGGAAATTCAGATGCATTGAAATGGAAATATGATCCCAAAGCACTTATGGATTTGGGGAATGTTTGGGTCACCGAAAGAGGTAGGTAAAGGGGGGGATTCTAAGAAGCATCATTTTCTTTTCAATAGTTTTATCTTGGAAAATACAATGGGTAACGTCCTTAAAACTAAATATGCTCAGATTTCACGTCATTAGATATATAAGACGAGTATCAACAAATATCTAAAATACATTCATTTAATTTTGTTTATCTTTTAAATTCCCCACATTTTCTTTCATTTGAACTTTTCTTGGCTTAATTTTTTTCATAGTACCTTCCTGGTCCCAAACAGACCCTTACGTTATAAACAATCACATACAATGGAGAGGTGTGGCTAAGTAAAAGATTCTTTCGAATCACAAACAATTAAGATAGAAGATTTGAAATCAAACGAAACTATATCAGATTCTGTAAGTTTGTGCATGACTTATACCTAATCGCCTAGAACAAAGTTTGCCACAGAAAAAAAACATACCAAATTGTGTATAAAATCTAATTAAATATAAGGAAGGATATTCAAGTTACATCACCTGCTCAGCAATCTCCTCAAGTTCATGTCCAAGTGTCTTTAAAGCATCAGCATAGGCACCTTGGACACTTAAGTTTCCAATTGCATTTGACAGGGCTCTTCCTTGGAGATACTCCATGGATAAGTAGTAGGTTTGCTTCGGATTCACTTCGTGATAATGAAGATACGTATCATTCCATTGCTTCAAGTAAAAAATGAAGACACCACAGTAACACTTAGATCATCATTTTGCCAAAAAAACACTTAGATCATCATATAAGCGTAATGCCCTAAAAGATTGAAACTTTTACCAAAGAATTTTACCAAAGAATTTTACACATGTGAAATCATAATGGACACATACAAAATACAACCCATCCCGCTGGGTCTGGACTATTCCTCTGATGCAAGCATGTCTCGTGCGAGAGCAACATGGAGAAATATTCTGTCAGGAATCTTCCTACCTTATTGTTATATATTATTAGAAGTTTCCTTTCATTAATGTATGTATTAGTATTAGTCTCTAATTCAGTTCTATTCGACTTATCATTAGCCTGTAGGTTTGTGTGTCCTATAATGGTTAGGCTCTTGCAGCAGCTATATTTTTTTTTTGGGAAACTTGGAGCAGCTATATAAGTGTCGTCAAAATTGATTACCTTTGAAGAATTAATTCGTGTTTGTCTTTACAATGTCAGACATCGATTAATTATATCATAGTCTTCTTTTATTCTTTTTTATGATGCGGGTGTCCATAGCATTTTTAGTACGAATAATCCGGCAGGCCCTGATGTAAACCTGCAGTGGCCCTCCAGGGAGATTCAAACCAGTCTCCGTACCTTAGACTTCTATTATTATTTTTCCATAGAAAGTTGTAAATCTAAAACTTCCTATTGGCTCTTCCTATCTCCCGTGTTGTCCCCTAGATCATAGACCAGAGATCCCAGCATGCCTGTAATCTCCTCCGGTTAAGTTAACTTTGAGAATGAAAACTCAAACCTTAATTATAAGAGTGTATATTACATTTACCACCACTAAATGTAATAAGAAATCCCTGTTACATTTTTGTGTTATCACAAGTCACTTTACATTGAAGAAATCCCAAATAATAAATCCATGAACAAACAATCAATTGATGGCATTAGAAATTCCAAAAGGATTAGCAATCCTACTTTGATCAAGCGGTCACGAACACTATCAGCAGTAGCATAGTATGCTTGCTCTGGGTCAAACTTGAAAAGGGAAAAATGAGGACTGTATTGAGAATGATAACTGATGTTGGAGGCTATCTCAGAGGGATGTTCAGCCAATGGATGAGCAATCGCAGGAATCTTGGCTAGTACATCCAATTTAGAAGCTGTAGTGAGAACATTGTTGGTATTTCCGGTAGTTTCCATTGTTTATAACCTAATAAGTAACCAAAAAATAATTCACTCAATTAAATTACTACAAAAAAGGGAGAATTATAACACAGATCAATTAAAATAATTTCAAGATCCAATAATACACTAACATATAAGCTATAGTGAGTTCACTTAAAACGTGATATAGTAGAAATTAACGAGTAAGTCCCGATTTTGATGAAGAACCCAGAGAGCAACACATAACTGTAAACCAGAAACACTTGAAAGCATATTGATGCAACGAAAAGAGATAGAAGTTGATAAACACATAAAAAAACAATGGGTATCTAGCAAAGGTGAGAGTTTTACCCTATTTGATTAAGATTCTCTCCGAGCTTCTACACTCATCAAGAAAATAACAAAACCCAGCTCAAGGCAGTGAGTCTTCTATGTGAACTTGCGGGCTGAGGAAGTTGACAGAAGATATTTAGCAGAAATATCCACAGACAAACAGAAAGTAGAAACGGAAGAGAAAGTGTTCAAGATTGATTGATTGATTGATGAAACGCGTGGCATTGAGAGGCGAAAACATGACATAAATACAGTATAGGAACTCACTAACACTCCCGGAAGAAGACGAAAATGCGCAAATTATTCTGAGAAACAGTAAAAGTAGACCCACTCGGCATCACATGCAAGTATGCAACCGAAGAAGCGCGGTAAATAGTAAGCAGAGAAACGATTGATTGTGAAATGATTTTAGTACAAATAAATACTACTCCGTCCCATAATGGTTGTCCACTTTCAATTTGACACGATTATTAATAAAGTGGTTGAAAAGTAAAAGTTGTGGTTGAGATTTGAGTATAATAAAGTGAATTGATAAGAACCACATATTTCATCCAAAAAAGGAAACAAGACATTCATTTTGGGACAACCCAAAAAGGAAAGTAGGACAACCAAAATGGGACGGAGGGAGTAAATAAAAGAAAAATGCTAGAGGTACCCCAATTAGTACCCTAATTTGTACTCTCACCCTATTTTTATGTCTCACAAAACCAACTCATTAAAGTGGGGTAATTCATTTATTGAGGTGAGCTTTTGTGAGCCACAAAAATAGGTTGGGGTACAAATTGGGGTACCAATTAGGATACCTATAGCAGGATTGTAAATAAAAATGGGCAGACGGCAATCGCTTCAAGTGGAGACCTAGGGGGCTAGATGGGCACGTGTCCCGCTTCGAGCCCGGAATTTCACTAGTAGTACTTAGGATAAAAATGAGTGTCCCGGCTTCATACCAGTATTTGATAATTAAGATACTAAAATGTTACGGTTATATAAATAAAAAAAATTACTCAGTAATACAAAATATTTAAATTTTAGCTGAATTAAAATAGAAGATATAGAATTATCAAAAAACAAAAAAATAATTAAGAATTGAAAACAAAAAGTAACCAAAAAAAAGTTAAAATTCCAAAAAGTAGCCAATGTGCAGGCAACTAAAACTACGGAGTGTTAAAAGTCTAAAATCCCACTAACATTTGAAAGACTAGAATGATAGAAGTTCTCCAAAAACAAAATATTGATGGAGCTGAAAGAGCAACTCCAGGTGTGGATATATGAAATGAGAACAAATGAGTTATTTTATGTCGTACAAACTATTGGTGAAGTTTGTAAGGAGATGGTTGAACTTAAAGTTCATAATTCTTTTCACTTGGTATATTGTCTGATTGAGTTGGCTTTAGTGTTACCAGTTGCAACGGCCACCGTTGAAAGAGCCTTCTCTGCGATGAATATTATCAAGACAGGTCTTCGCAATAAGATGAGAGATGACTATCTTACGGATTGCTTGGTGTGCTACATCGAGAGAGATGTTTTTAGAAACATCGATAATGAAACTATTATGCAACATTTTCAGAATATGAAAACTCGTAGGTTTGATTTACCAACGTTGCAGCAGTGAACTATTTGATACTCCGTATGTAATTAACTATTCCGTATAATTTAATACATTTTTTACCATTTTTATTACATTTAAAGTTTTTATTATAGACTAACTTTAGTTCTAGTGTGCCCCCGCTCTTACAATCTCTGGGTCCGCCACTGGTCGCTTCCTTAAACGCTCATACAGTCATACTCGAGCATAAATACATGCCTCTTGTGACACTTGAAATAGATTGATTCTGATAAAACTTATCAAGATTTGGCTGAAGTGACTCTATTTGCCGATTCTACTGATTTATGAAAAAAATTGAGAAAAGGGGCGAATAAGGCCATGTACTAACCAAAAAGGTCAAATAAGACCTTATTTAAGAGGCTCTGTCCGGCCATCGCCATTTGGGGTGGTTCCTGGTGGAATTTTTTGATGAAATATTTTGAGCATCTTATTCAGTAAGTCTAGTTTACTCATACCAAATTTCAGCTAAAACGTCAATCAAGAAGGCATTCAAATGAGTTCTTGAAGATAACTGCGCAGTTAAAAGCGCAGTTATCTTCAAGAATTCATTTGAATGCCTTCCTGATTGAGAGCCCGTTTGGAGAACTCTGTTTTCGGCTTATCAGGCTTATCAGCCAGCTTTTTCACCAAACAGGTAACTTTTACTTTCGCGCGCTGAATTGTGTAATAAGCCGAAAAAGTAAGGTTGGAGTTACTTTTCTGGCTGTATTGGCTGAAGTTACTGTAGAGGACCATTTTAGCTATTTTTACATATAATTTTTTCTTTAATTTATTAATAAAATATATTTTTAAAATATTTTTTTTCTTAAATCAGCAGAATCAGCCAAAACAGCTACTCCAGCCAGAATATCATAAATTTCAGCAGAATCAGCCAAAACAGCCGATTTTGGTGCTACCAAACGGGCTCTGAATTGTTAACTGAAATTTGGTATGAGGAAACTAGACTTAATGAATAAAATGGTCAAAATATTTCATCAAAAAATTCCATCGAGAACCACTCCAAATGGCGAAGGCCGGCCAGGGCCTCATAAATAAGGCTTTATTTGACCTTTTTTTGGTTAGTACGTGACCTTATTTGCCCCTTTTCCCAATTATATATAAAATATATTTTATTGTTAAAATAAAGAAAAAATTACATGAAAAAATAACAAAAATGATCAGCTACGATAATTTCACTCAATAGAGTTAGAAAAATAACTTCAGTCTCACTTTTTCTTATTATTACACAATTCAATATATGAAATCAAAAGTTATATGTTTGACTAAAAAGTTGACTAGTAAGCCTAATAAGTCCAAAATAGAGTCATCAAACAATCTAATAACCATTCAAAGTCACTTAACATGATTATTGAAACATGTTCCTTATCATATACGGAATTCCTCAAAAAAAAAAAACTTCCGTTATAAGGAGTAGTTTTGTCTGTTTATACAAAACTATTTAGGGGTAAAATACATTGAGGGAGTAGTTTTATACACAATTTGGTATGTTTTTTTATACTTGAAGGAGTAGTTTTATATAATAGGGGTATGTTTTTTTATACATTGAGGGAGTAGTTATCTTAAAAGCGCAGTTATCTTCAAGGATTCATTTGAGTACCTTCCCGATTGAATTGTTAGCTGAAATTTGGTATGAGTAAACTAGACTTAATGAATAAGATGATAAAAAAAATTCTACCGAGAACCACCCCAAATGGCAAAGGCCGGACAGAGCCTCATAAATAAGGTCTTATTTGACCTTTTTTGGTTAGTACGTGGCCTTATTTGCCCCTTTTCCCTATGCCTTATTTGCCCCTTTTCCCTTTTCCTTATGCCAGATAATAAACATAACTTAATACGACAAATAAAATAACTCATCAAATAATTTCCCAAGTTCACATAATAGCAAATAGTCTAAAATGTTCTACTAAAAATCAACCAAACTTCTTTCTTTCATTTGGTTGAACAAACATGTACAAGTGGTAGTGAACTTACCTGTATTAGCTGAACTGGAAATACTCAAATAAGTGTGGCACCCTGATAACGTCTTCCGATAAGCTCTTTTCTTAAATCTTTAATTGAATATAATATTACAATTAAACTCATTATACTATAACCAAAGCTTAAATCGATGGTAATATGAACCAAAACTCTGAAATTGAAAATCTAACCTTCTGCTGAAAAGTGCAGACCAAATGATCAATTTAGGGGTCTTTTGCTACTACCCAAGTTAGTTGTTTGAGAAAAATAGGGACTGTTCGGCTCGTGTTTTTTTTTTTCAGACTGTGCTCTTGGTCAGTTTGAATGAAGTCGGATTGTGCCTCTAGAATAAGTATTCTGATGAGTTTCAGGAGCACACGAGATTCATCTTTAGCATTTGATCATCCGACCTCTGTCTCCTCCAGAATGTAGTATGTTCGACTATTTGATGTGAATGCTTGTGAGGAATAATTGTCAGTGGCAATGCTGACAATCATGGTGATTCTTGTGAGTATATGCTGACCGTTTGAATTGAAGCTGAGTGGGAAGATGTGGGCAAATGTTTATGTTGGAGGAGAGAAGTTTCCGAGAATGATCTTTGAAAGTTTAAATGCACTTGGATTGCTCTTCCCCTCATGACGTTCCGATGAATCGGGACATCATGTCTTTATTCATCCTTTTATTCTGCAAAAAAAAAAAACTAAAATCCGGATACACTCTGGTGTTCCGTTGACACATCATCAATGAAAAGACATTGATGTGTGGCTTGTATATAACAAAAGAATCGTTAAAGCTCTTGAAGTAGATGTCACTCTGGTCATTATGCCATGATCACAAGGATTAGCAAAGAAAAACTGTAGCCCATCGGGGTCGCATAGACTGCCATTATCATCACTACACAGATTACCTCTAAAGGAATAGCCTGAACACGTTGGTGATTTCTATGTTGCAACGTCAAACCTTCCTTCCAATCCTTGGTCAACATCTATAGCAGATGAGCCTATGGAAATTCTTACAGGTCACAAGGACCAACAATTGACTCTAAAATGTGTCTGTGTCCTAAAAAAATAAAAAACATTTGGGAGTGAGATAACTAGACACTACGTGATGAATGAAGGTTCAGTGGCATGGGGTTGTGGGCCACTGAAGTCAATATATGTCGCCTAAGAAGGAGACGATGATAAATGATGAGGTTCCTCATGAAATTTGATTAAACACATGTCTATTGAGAGACATATGAGTGGTCTAGGGTAGGGTTGTGCATGCACTATTGGACAAGATGCATCGACTTCTACCTGGGGTCTGATTATATCAGTCATGTACCTATGGGGAATTGTCCAGAATATTTGAGTGGCCAGGAGTAATTCTCTCGATTGATAGCACAGTGAGGTAGCAGACTTATCTGTGAGTATTATTTTCTTGCTCACTTGAGCCTTCTGCTTCCTCTGTCTTAAGATATTCACTTACTCACTCACTCACTCTCGGATTTGTCTTTTGGGCAGGCTTAATTGGGTTTTACAGAACCATTGTGATTTATCGCTCATTGATCTCTGTGCTCCCCCCTCAACAGGAGTACTCAGCAGGATAACTTTAAGACGCTTGTGAGGAGAACTTTAAGACTCTCCCTCAAAAGGTGCATCCTAGAGTAGTATCTTGCATCAAACGTTGTGGCGCCAGGAGGAAATAGAGATATTCCTCCTCAGAATGTGCACCTGGTGTTTTTTGTTACTTGGGGAGTAAGTGTAACACCCCACCCAGATCGGCC